GTTCTCCAGGGTGGCCCGAGTAAGACGGTCTTCCTTCTGAAATGTGTGATCTAGCATCTGACACTGTGGCAGTGCAACTTAGGCAGGAGATAACGGGAGACAGTTATTTTTTAATCAAACCTTTTCTTTTTGACTTGTGCAATGCTTCTGTCACAGGTGAGACAGTGTTTTTGTCACCAGTGCCCAGGCCAAGTCATTTTTCTTTGTGGATATTCCTCCACTGAAGGAGCCAAAAACGTTTCCTTCAGCTGTCAGTGAAGGTCTTTTTCTGCACCATTTTCACTTGTTCCATGTTGGCAGCATCAGAGCCCTTTGTAAATAAACCAGGCTGTGCGCGAGCTTGGCCATTTAGAATGTGTGTGATTAATAACAATTGATTTGCACAGCTGTGCGTACGTACATGTGATAAATACCAATTTTCTTGTGTGTACTGGTGGCTCTTAGGCACATACTATACAATGGTTCATTTTATGCATGTGTTGATAAATGAGGCCCCAGATAGCTAATAATTAAATCCATTTGATTGTGAAGGCAAGTCAGTATTTTTGTATTGCTTTATTAAATGGATGTGAAGCTACAGTACATGCCCTGAGAGTCCTCTGAGATGTGATGATAGCAGAATCTCTTGTTGCAATGACTCATTGATGTTGTGTTCCTGGTCCATAGTGCTATCGAGAGGAGGTCTCGTCTGCACTTCATGCATCAGTGGAGTCAAGTGGGTCACAGTAAGAAGAGGAAGATCAGTCGGGAAGAGCTGGTAAAATGGGCCGAATCCTTGAACGCCCTACTGGCCAGTCAAAGTAAGGCCTGCTTTGTTCTGGGAACGCTTCTTCTTTGTTTGTATGCCCACACGCTCACTGGTAGAACACTGCAGAGTGATATCCAATTCAAGGATGAAAACAGTTGGTGGTAATAATGGCATAAAAGGTAGAAATGTATCAATAAAAAGGAGAAGACTAAGCTAATGTAAACAATTCAGCTTTTCAGATTCTTTAAGAAGTAGCAAATGCATTCAGCATGTTTCTAGAAAAAACCCTAAAGATGCAGTACCAATGATGCATTTTGCTTTAGCAATGAAAACTTCACAGGCTACCTTTTAAGTGATGTCAGTGAAAGCTCTTCTCTGACCTCTGGCCCCTTTCATCAAGCTTCTGGCCTGAAAGCTACACCCTGACATTTTAACTGACTGAGCGCTTCTGCTGTGTAGAAATGTTTGTGCAAGTAAAAGTCAAATTTCTCTCCCCGGTTTTATCTGAACAAGTTGCCAAAGTGCTGTCGACATTCAGGCTGATGTAACTGGTTACTGTGAGCTTTGCAATAAGCCTAAAAGAGCAGATCTGGTTCTAGGAATAGAACAGACAGTAAACACCAAGACTGTTATAAATCAGTGTTGTAACAGAGTCTGTGTAAAACTCCAGCTAGAGGATATTTGACCAACAAGATCACATGATTAGGAAAATCTACATGTTTGCACAAGAAGATTCCTTAATCACTTCTCTCTTTTTCTGGTAATTTTGTTTCTGTTGGTGCATCCACTGGGCTATCTAATGCTATTATAAAAAGGTAACTTAATTTTATTTTACCAGGTTAAAAAATGCCAACTGAGATTAAAAACCTCTTTTCCAAGATAAATCCTCAAGTTGTCACCCATAGCAGCAAAACCAGGAAAGGCCCTGCTTTCACTTTCTGATAACACAGACGGCACTGTGGGGCAATGTGAATGGCACAGACTGTTTCCAGTTACCTCTGTGCTTTAGAGATTACAGTGTTTGTACAAACCGTATCCCATTTGCATCAAATGATGTACTTAACATTACTGCCTGTCATTTTATTTTGCTCTGGTATTTTAGATACACACTTTATGTTGGTTTTCCTTTAATTTGTCATCCATCTGTCTGCTTTAGTAATGCCATGTATTGGTATAATGCATTGCTGTGGCTGCACTGTGCACAGACCTTGCCTGAGGACTAGCCTCAGCACTCTGCATGACTCGGCCTCCTTATCAGTGCATGCGTATGTGGAATGCTGTCTTCTGTCGTTGACATATGTGACATGTTGTATGTGTGGTGTAAACAGTTTGAAGCCTTCCTCTTCTACAAAGCAGCCAGTCATATTTGATGCCTCAGACTAAAAGTGAGCTATGACTCAAAGCCTAGTGTGAACACAGCTTGAGAGGAAGTGACGGGTGTGTGCCAAGGTTTTACAATGAAGTGTGAAACTTTGATGCTGGCAATATTTCTCCTTATCCCCTTATTAGGCCCAAGTGGTTGTTGTGTTAGTGTTAGATTTAGCCCACTAATCTTACACTTTCCCCTCTTACCAGCTGGTCTTTCAGTGTTTGAAGCATTCCTACGCTCTGAGTTCAGCGAAGAGAATCTGCAGTTCTATCTTGCCTGTGAGCAGTACAGACACTCATCCAACAACTTCAGCCTACAGAGGAGGGCCAAGGACATCTGTGCCACCTACATCCAACCAGGTGCCCCCCGAGAGGTACATGCCTGCTTTAACATTCAGCAGAACTGCGTGCACTGAAAGCTGTTTTATATTTTTTTATTTGATTTTATTTTTTGCTAAATGCACTTTCATTTTATTACTTCAAGTATACAGCTTCCTTCAAATAATGTGCTGTTTTTGGAAGGTTGTGAGAGTGATTCATGTTTAACAGCACAGCATTGTATCAATAGCAGAATTCACATGGAGCCTTTTTTTCTACTAATAGAGCAAGAGTTCCACCAGAATGAAAAACGGATGCAAACTCCTATATACCTCAATTAAACAATTTGTTTTTAAACTTAACATATATTTAACCAGCAGGGCCTTCTTTAGGTTGAAAATCAATTTCTCCACAATGTTTTGGCTAAGATTTGCAGTGTGCTAGACCAACAATAGAATTCAGAGTGATCCCATTTGCAATAGAAACTCGCATGATCAAAAGTGAATTCAGAGCAAAGCAAACGTGAAGGCAGACCGTTGTTAGCTAGCAGCATTTGTGTGTGTGTGTTATTTTGGGCAACAAGTAAAAAAAAGAGGTGAAACCTGTGTAGGTGAAGTCATGGCTGAGAAGACACATTGGTATGTGCATTATGCAGCGCAAGCTGGAGTTGAGCTGGAAATAAGGCTTTACTGTCTACTACTGGCTACTGCAAGCTACAGCTACAGTTGATGAGGCTTCGCAGTCAGCTCGCTCTCATCGACTGGTTAGGGTCAACATTCCATTGTTGTTGCGTTCACACCACAGGGTTTCAAGTCATAAATATCAAACATCTTTGATATGTATTAGCCAGTCCCTCCTCACACTACAGGATCATTTGGGCAGATTATCAGTTCTGATTGTTGGAATGGGTGAATTAGATTATCCTCTAGTGTGGGGCCAGCAAAAGATTCTCCTACCTCATGGAGACTCTTACTTTGAAGGCAGACCAACAAGGGGGATACAGGTGTGTGTTGCAGTTGTGTTATGTTGTCTGTTTGTTATCATGTGGATGTCTGTTACTGTGTGCTGTTGTGTGTATGAATGTGTTACTTTTACCATGTGTTATAGTGGTGATGTTAGTGTGTGTGTGTGTGTGTGTGTGTGTGTGTGTGTGTGTGTGGTATTCACGGTTCACGGTATGCCATGGAATTAAAATCAGCAGTCACTAGTTATGATTTGATCAAGACAGGCTGGGCCAGTGGGTCCCGTTGATCTCTCACTACTCTCTGTATTCTTTAAACTCATGTCTTGCTATAATCGTTCCGATGTCAGTGGATTGCTTTCTGTTCCAACCCCATGTAAGATGAGGTATTGTCTTGTTTACACTGAATATGCATGAGAACAATCCTGCTCCAGAACTGGTTTGAGGTTACAGACAGGTTGCCATGACTGCAAGACCTACAAGAACCAACAAAATCAGTATCATATGAAATTGCCAACAAAGTTATCCAGCTAACCTGTTAATCAGTGTCCGAACCCTGAGCTGATTTAACCCTTGGATTTGGACTGTATTTATTTATTTATTTTACAAAACACTGCACTTTAAGAATGCCATTAATTCCAGAATGATTTTTTTTCTTAAACTCTGATAATCCTGGAGGATCATAAATACATGCTTCTTATAAATGTATTATTTTAATGTCAAAAATAAGACCAGCTTTAATGGATAATTCCATTGTGTTAAAGCTTGGATCTTATTTTTTGTAGATCTCATGACCATCATTCCTTCCAGTAATAATAACAATATGTAGGTATTTGGTTAAAAAAAACTTTGAAAGGTCACAAACAAGCAGTATCAGAACAAAGAAATGTTAGAGTAGTTTTGTTAGCCATTGCAAAAAAAAAAGAAAGAAAGAATATTTAAGATGTAATACACTGGAATTGAACTTTTACATGAGTGAAGCACAATCACTGTGTTGCCTTATTGTAGGTGAACCTGGACGCTAAGACCAGGGACCTGACCATGCAGCTGCTGCAGGCTCCCTCTCACACCTCTCTGTCCCACGCTCAGAAACGCATCTACTCACTCCTGGACATAGACTGTTATCCCCGCTTCCTCCAGTCCAACATCTACCTTTCCTTACTCCGAGAGGCTGACTAGAAGTCACAAGGTGATGACATGTGAACTTTGAAAGAAGAGCAGTGGCTCACTTTTCCCACAGCTTCTGGGATTTCTTTAACACTGTAGATCATAAAACCAAAGGTGTCTACAAAACGATAGTTGCTGTATGATTATTGTGTATAAAATCACTGAAAATGGGGAAACAGCTAACTTGGTTCTGTCAAAACTCCAAAAATACCAGCATTTCACAAGCTCAGTTATCTGTCCACAGTTTTTTTGTCAAGAAAACTAAACTAGAAACTCCCACTAAAACCACAAGTCTTTTCTTTTTGTATTTCTCTTTGTGTAGGCTACAGAATGAACAAATGAGAGACAGTATGCTAATGACTTACTTTGCACAGTATTGCCAGTAAGTATTTTTTTTACTTTGGTGAAGACCAGGAGATGGTCATGCTAGCTGTTTCTTCCTACTGCCAGTCTTTATGCTAAACAAAGCTAACCATACGTTGTCTCCGGAATCAAGACGTGTCAATCTTTTAGTTCCACTCTTTGAAGGGGGAAAAAGCTAATTTTCCAAAAGAAACTATTCCTTGATTTTTACTTCTTGTTGGCTTTAAGATGCAGTGGTTGGCCCTGAGAAAAACACACAAGTGTTTCCCCCTCACTTTAGGTACGTGAGCCATTAAACTATGCAGCTCACATTTTAATCATTGAACAGCCCGAGTTTCCTATGCTGACAGGAAGGAAAAACAAGTTCAGCCTGTATGAGCGCTTTGCAATAAAGGTCAAAGTACTGAGCTACTTATATGGCAAAGGTGGGAAACCTGTGCAAACTGTTCTGACATGTAGAATGACTCTGCAACTACAGGGAAGTTAAGTTCCGTCTGCCCCCAAATCCTCCGCTCTTAACTGAACAAACTGTGTCCACATACAGTCAACTCAGAAAATAAATAGAAGTAGGTTATTTGTAATGACTATTTTGAATAGCATTTCCTAGATTGTTGGTTCTGGAAAAACTTAGACATGCAGTGAGGAAGAACAATTTAAACAAAATTTAGAACATATGCTTTAAAGAGGAAAAAAAAGAGGTTGAGTACTCTTTGAACTGAATTTATGTCAGAAAGAATGTATCCTATACAATCCTCAGTACAATAGGGATCTTAAAAAACTCATTTGGGGTGTAGCAGCTGAATTTTCTTTTCCTCCTCAATCATCTGTTTTCTGCCACTTATCCAACAGTTGCAGCAGGCCAAGAAAAGTAACCCAAAGCATATAAAGTCAGGTTTGCTTTGCAATTGAAAACTCCAAAAAAGCTAGTAAGTGGACTTCAGTCGCAAAAATTCAGGTATCATATTGCATTAGTATAACGTTGTACCATTGGCCATGTATAACATGTACATGTTTGGCCATTCACACACCGGTGTCATCAACAGGAGCAACTGGGGTTCAGTGTGTTGCTCAGGGACATTTCGAGATGTGGACTGGATAAGCTGGGAATCGAACCACTAATCTTCTGTTTAGAGACAACCCGCTCTACCTCCGGAGCCACAGCTGCCCCCTTGGTAGTTTACTATTAACACAGATTCACTAAAACTTGACAGGATACACTGCACAGTACTCCTGCTGTGGCCCTAATGATGTAAAATGTGGATTTTTTGAGCTGCTAGAAAGAGTGACCTGAGCTAACAAATGTTCCTTTTACCATGTTTGTAAATGTTTTTGATTCTGCTTTTTGAAGGTGGTTTCTCTAATGTGAACCTTATTTTCTCCATGAAAACCACCAAAGTATAGAGGTTAAACTCATGCCAATTATGAAAGATAGTGTTGGTCTTGCTTTTGCGGGGTCCCTGATGGACTAGTGGCTAGGATTCAGTGCTCTCGCTGCTGTGGCCCAGGTTTGAGTCAGGGTTGTGTAAGGAAGGGCATCCGGTGTAAAACGCATGCCAAACTTCAACATGCGAATTGTCTCGCTGTGGGAACCCCTCACGGGAAAAAGCTGAAAGTGACTGACAGACAGAGTCTTAATTTTGTTTTTGTTTCCTTCATGAAATTTTCTTCCCCTGGTTTCCATCCCACTCAACAGCCTGATGGCCACCGCTTTGTACAGCTCATTCCAGTAATTTTGCTGTAACCCACCACTTCATCAGCTGTTATGACCTCATCTCAGACAAGTCCTCTTGGGTAAACAGTCTTCATCCTTTGCATCATCCTGCATGCTAATGTTGCTGTATGCTATTTTATCACATTACACTGTATAAATACAATTCATAGCTAATGTGGACTTTGGCGTGTTTCCTCCTTTGGTTCTGGATGTCTGGATAAGACAGAACAATGCTGTTTAGCACCAACATGTCTGGAAACCTCAGGTTTAGTCCTCTTCTTAAAGAACTGCTCGGCCAATGTCGCCACAAGGACACGGCTATAATCGGCTTTGTGGCTATAAACACATAGATGTTGACAAGCAGCAGTTCCTCATGCTTGGGATGTCAAGCTGATGAGTCTAAATATTTTCTCATTTTACCCAGTGGTGTGGTGCCATGGAGATTGTTTCAGTTTTACGTGCTGACGTTTTGCCTCAGAAACATACCTCCACTCCAGTACTACTGGAAGTAAATGGGGTTTCTCCACACAGCTGACAGCCTTGATTGGCACAGTATATTTGAAGAAGTGGGAGATCATCAACTGCTCTGCCCACAGTCAGCTTGCTGTCCCCTCTTCATCCATTAAACCAGTACACAACCACAGTAAGCCCGCTAATACTGTGACAGGATGACAATCTTGTGAGTACCCACCCTGTCCCTTCATGAGTATTTGGAATCTGATTTAGTGTGAAATTCACCTCCTGGTTCTTGTCTCTGAAGTAGGCGGAAGACTGGAAACAAAAGAAGGACCCAAGACAACGGGTACAAGTTCAGTTTTTGGTCAGTAAGTTCCTGCAGTAGAGATGAAGTAATATCCCAGAGGGGAAAACCAGAAAGAATGTCTTTGTCCAGAAGAGTGTTTGGGCCCTTAACAGAGTGCAGGAACATACCAACCCACAACTGAACAGGTTTAGAGACAAAATGGAGACTTAAGTGAGTTGACGCCGGGCAAAGCAGTGAAGACGTCACATTTCTGCTTGATCAGCACCTCTTTGATAAACGGCTCATACAATCTGCATTACTGGCAGTTTTTTGCGCACGTGAATTAATGAGCATCATGGTTGGTGACTCAACATCTTCTGCTCACGTGTATGTGGGAGAGGAGCTCAGCACCATCCTTGTGTAAACAGTGACTGACAGGAAAAAAAATACAATAGAAAAGCAAAGTGGAACCAACAACGCAAGTCCTTCAAATTATGCTGAGTTAAAGGTATGGGAAGCTCCAGGTGGTTTTAAAGTTAGAAATCTCAGCACTTGGCCAAGAAAGAATTGCATTAATACTACTGAACACCTCTGAAGGTCACAGTGAGGTTCTGCTTTAGCACATATTTGTCTGAAAGCACTGAGCTTCTAAAATTCAGTACCAAATTCCTCACAGAGCTTGGTCCTGATCACCATGGCCGGGTGCTCCTGTACTCCTGCTTCACCCACTGTGTGCTGTAGCAGTTTTCTCCTACGGTCCACAGCCAGCCGCACTGGCTTTTGTCCTTCTTCTTCTCTAACCGATGGTTATCCAGCATGCATCCTGCTGGACACTGGGGGGTGTCTATCACCCTAATGCTCTCTGCACCACATGCTTTAGTAACCGTATCAAGGTATGTCTCTATGCTGCTTTCCTTCTTGGATGTAGATAAAGGTGGAAGTGACAGATGCTGGGACCTGGGCGATAAGGCACAACAGCATATGGTGAGTGAAAGGAATTAAAAGGATAAAAGGTAGAGGGCAAACATATTCGCCAAAGTTAAACACAGTTTTACTGTATAACAACCCTATGTGTAACTGAAATTCATTGCAGAAAGAAACTCAAACCTCAACATCTCCTCCTACATAAATGACAAAACCGATCATTAGTTTTCCAGACCGATGTTTCACTTGTTATCCACTGTCTGACAGTAGTTGGAGGGGTGTGTCTATGTCTGATTGACAGCAGAAGATCAACACTCATGTGGCTGTTTTTCATATTTGTACAGTACGTGAACATATTTTTTCTTTATGAATTTTGCCCTGCTTCAGAAGCAGGGTTTGGCTCCATTTCCCCCCATGACCATCCACGAGATAGTGCTATATATACAGGTGCATCTCAATAAATAAGAATATCGTGGAAAAGTCCATTTACTTCAGTAATTCAACTCAAATAGTGAAACTCGTGTATTATATAAATTCAGTACACACAGACTGAAGTAGTTTAAGGCATTGGATTTTTTAATTGTGATGATTTTGGCCCACATTTAACAAAAACCCACCAAATCACTATCTCAATAAATTAGAATATGGTGGCATACCACTCAGCTAGTCAACTCAAAACACCTGCAAAGGTGTCCTGAGCCTTCAAAATGGTCACTCAGTTTGGCTCACTAGGCTACACAATCATGGGGAAGACTGCTGATCTGACAGTTGTCCAGAAGACAATCATCAACACCCTTCATAAGGAGGGTAAGCCACAAACATTCATTGCCAAAGAAGCTGGCTGTTCACAGAGAGCTGTATCCAAGTATGTTAACAGAAAGTTGAGTGGTAGGAAAAAGATGCACAACCAACTGAGAGAACCGCAGCCTTGAGAGGCTTGTCAAGCAAAATCGATTCAAGAATTTGGGTGAACTTCACAA